GTTCAGCAGTTGGAAGACAAATACAGACGAGCAACGTCCACCTGCTTCGTTCCGAGGGGTTTGGTCCCTCCCGAAAGGAACAAGATGATCCATGAAAATGGATGTTTAGAAAATCCTGCACAGCAGGAGCACCTCTATCAATACGATTTCCTGATCCAGAGTTAGTATGTATATACTTGGCAGGTAAAAGTGAATTAAAACTTTTTTCAACAGAGCATCCTCAGACACAAGGGTAATTCAAACCTACCTACAGACCCAGAGGCAGCATTTCCAGTAATTCTTCTCCTAAAATGTTCATGCAGAATCCTAGATGTCCTCTAAACTTTGGAGTCTCTGCTAACCTTGACAACTTCAGTCTGTTTCTTATTTTTAGGCTGGAATCTGATAGGTCATTTCTTACTTCCTATCTTGCTGGTATTACTGTGCCTCAGCACACAAGGCCCTAAACCAGACAGCAGAGACTGGAAGCAAACAACTGGAGAATCACGATACGAAATACACGGATCGTACTGTCCATTGGTAAGAAAACGCTTAAACTTAGTAACACCTTAGAGCTCTAGAGACTTACTTTATTAGCTTATTTACTGGAAAGACAAATGAGCAGGTTGTGCAAGGTGACTTGTGAATGTGCATTAGAAGAGGGGAGAGACTGACTTTCCTCCAGCACAGAGCGTGGGTCTCAAAGACGGTGAGAACCGGGGTGTGCCTTGGGGGCTACGTCTGCCCTTCACCTCCCCGCACCCCAATAACGGGCGGTCTCCTCAGAAACCGCGCCTTCAACGCGGCTCATCCGTTCGAAACCCAACATACGAAACGCACCAAAGACAGGTGGAATTTACAAAGCAGAGGGAAGAAGCGAAACAGCCAAAATCGCAGCGATGCCGCTCCTGCCACACCTCAGCTCTCTCCGCCACGAACCCAGGGACGCTTGTGCAGCACACTCACTGCGAGCGTGCAAAGCAACTGTACGCAGCTCGGGTGTGTCAACTCCGAACAACGGTCTTTACACGTGCTCTTGTCCTCTGACCAGGACTAAAGAAATCTGACAACATACTTACGCACACAGACAGGCGTCTTCCCAGACCAGCGGTGATCCTGCTGGCAGATCCGCACCGACATCCCGATGAGGCGGAAGCCGGGGTTGCACTGATAAACCACGCTGCCGCGGTAGTTGTAGTTCTCCCCGTTGATCTGCCCGTTGACGATGGGACTGGGAACACCGCAGTGCCCCGCTGCGGGAGGGAGACAGGGAGAATCACCGAGAGCTCAGGCCTGCCCGTCCCGAAGGCATCGCACCCCACCCTGACCCTCAGGGTGGATCTGAATTCGAGACTCTGCAGTCATAAATAAAACCAGAGCAGCAGGAAAAACAACATACCATTTTTAAAGCTCTCCTCTCCAATCTCAACACACATCTACTAAGGAATCAAAATTTGCTTCCTTTCTGTATCTACTGAAAACCCTACCGCTTCAGCAGCGCCAAACCTGCACTCGGGCTCCTTCTCAAATCAGCATCTAAAATTCCTATTCCCTCCTGAAACGCCATCAGGGCGCTCTCCCCACCGCATCTCGGATACTCCGCACCTACCCAGACATCTGACTTCTGCTCCGCTCCAGAGTCCGTTGGCCATGCACTCCCGCACGCGGGACCCTACCAGCGTGTAGCCAGTGTTGCAGGAGAAGATGGCCGTGGCCCCGTAGCTGGTCAGCGTCCCGATCTTGTTCCCGTTAGGTGGGGTCGGCAGGTCTCCGCACGAGATAACTAGAAGAGATCCCGAAGGACAGTAAGCAAGAACAGGCAGGGAGCTACGTTTTTTCAAAGAAATGCACTCAGTGATGCTTGCTGCCACAAGTTATTACTGAAGTCAGAAATGAGTAGGAAAGATTATTAAATAGTTACGCGGATAATAACAACAATTCAGAGTCGTGTTCCGTGAGCTGACAAATATAAGTGCTGCTATTAATGTTTACGCTTCAGGATGCGAGGGAAGCACTAAAGACTGGCTAGGAAGAAACTACAGAAGTTTTTAACACAGGAGTATTTCTATTATTAACCCATTGGGAGCATTTCTATTATTAACCCATCGCTAGGTACAGCTGGGAAGCCTGCCTTCCAGAAACGCCACCAAACGGCACCGCATTTCCAATCAGAAAGTGACACCCAGCTTTTCCTCACACCGTGACTTGCAGGACAGAGCTGACGTCTGAAGCTCAGACCCAGAGAGGACACGCAGCCGAAAGCCTGGTGTGCAGGGTGCAGCTGGAGCCCGGCCAGGAGCCCGTGCAAAAGCAGCTCCCAGCCACAAACTTCAGCTCTTTCTTTTATCTACCTTAAAGATCTGCAAACCCTCTGGAGCTTTCGCACTCAGCAAGAAATCAAGAGACTCACGCTGGGTGCTTCTGACCTTAGTGCATTGCCAAGATCCTGTCACTTGAATTTAGGTGGCAATAACGCTGAAGAAATAAAACGAGGTCAAGCTCGCGCTCCCGGATCTGGCTGAAGAGCTAGCAGGGGTAAAACTACATCTGTCACCGAAGTCAGCAGTGGCATCTCTAGAAACAAAGGGAGGCAGGAGGGAAGGGAAAGCTGCCATTTCGAAGGAGAAATTTTTCTGTCTCTATCTGCACTTAGAGAGAAAAAACCCTCCACCTCTGACAAAAGAAAAGATCCAAAGCACAGCAGTCATGTCAGAATGACTGAGCAAGCTCCTTGTTTGCCAAGTGTTTTTGATTTACAGGTGACACTGTTACCCTTGTAAACTTGGCGTTTGCATAAAATTGGAAGAGGTTAGGCTTCAAATCAGAATTTTTTATTTTCTTTCTTAAAAGCAAACTTCAGAGCATCTGGCACCAGGAACAGCTAAGCTGCTGGGACCCGACAGCAACAGATGAGCTAATGTGCTTGAGTTCTTGCAGAACCGTTTAGATTAAAGCAAGAATCAGATCAGCAGATGACCTCTCCCCGCATCCAAACTCTCTCCTACCAGAGCAGTTCTGCAGCCACGCTCTCAGATGCTGCCGAGAGCGGCTGGGGCTGCGGCGCGTTTGCACGCCAACAGCAGAGCTCGCACACCCACCGAATGGGAAACAGAATGTCATCCCCTGCAAACACCCCGCGGGGCTGGCCTGCCCCGGCACGAATCCCCAGCTTCGCTGCTCTTACTTCTACAGGTCGGCATCGGTTCGCCTATGCTCCACGTCCCGGTGGCTTGGCACTTGATGACCCGCTGGCCTGTGTAGTAGTACCCGGGGTCACAGATGAGCATCAGCTGGGCGTTGTAGTGGTACTGGATCTCGTAGGTCAGCCGCCACCGACCGTGCTCAACCGCGATGCTGTTGATATCGGGACAGGTGACAGCTAAAAACCAGATGCGGGGAGTCAGGGAGAAGAAACGAGACAAAGACGTTAATAGGTGTTTAATTCCCGGGACTTCAGGGCTTTGCAGCAAGGGTGCTGGCTTTTTAACGCGGGGCCAGGGTTAGCATCTCGGTTTTACAGGCGGGAAACCAAGACACCATGGGAGGGGGCATCAGACCCGAGCCATGCAGGATTAGAAACCCGGTGTCCCAGGTACTGCACCTGTGAGGCAAAGCCGTCCATGCTGGGGCTGGAAGATATTACTGAAGGGACTTCCAGGATTCCCGGTGGGACGGCGCAGCCTGCAAACACTCACCCACGCACTGCGGGGGCTGGTTGCCGTTACTCCACTGCCCGGCCTGCAGGCACTCCGCGCTGGGCTGCTCCCCGGGCTGCAGCTGGAAGCCCTGGTTGCAATGGTACACGGCTTTCGTTCCCACTGTGTACTCCTTGCCAAAGACGACTCCGTTCCTTGGGGCTCTGGGAACTCCACAGGAGAGAGCTGGGAAGGAGGAGGGGAAAAACACAGCCGAGAAATCAGTCAGCTCCCGATTTATTATGGATTCATGGTGAGCTGAAAATGCCCCGATCCCCCAGCTCTCCTGTTCACAAAAGCTCCAGCCCCATGTGGAACCCCAGAAGCCGCACTGAACGCCCACTTTCACAGAGGATCAGATTTTCCACTCCTGTCTATCAGCGTGGCAACGGCAAAGCCAACGCTGAACACCAGTTTCTAGTGGAAGAGACTCCGGCTCGTACTTTCTGTAATATCTGTGACACAAAATGCATCAGCACACTATTCAGAAGTTTTCACACAGAGATAAAGGATTAGATAGCAATAAGGTTTTGTATTTACATCCCACAGCAGCAAAAACCTGAAAACCCTTTCCAACAGCACTTCTGGGTTACATAAGGCAGCAAATTGTATAATTATGTTGTGGCAGAAGGAAGGCTAAATTTAGCATTACGGCTGAGAAGGTAAGGGGGGGGAATTCAGGGAAAAAATGGATAAACAGGCACAATGCCAAATGGCTGCTCAAGATGGCAGCACTTCGGAGAAGATGCTCTGCACCACTCCTGCCGAGATCCTCAGTTCTGCGGCCAGGAGAGCAGCCAAACGGGGCAGAGAGGGGACAGGCAGGTCACAGAAATACGAGCAACAGCCAAATACAGACAGAGCAGAATCACGCTCATTTATGCTGCAAGAGTTTTGCAAGACATGACAAGCCCTGTCACCCTCTTCCCTACTGTTGGGAAAACCAGCACTGGGACTCTGTCACTCAAATCTGGTTTCCTTCCCTCTATCAGCATTCAGAAGAGCTGGGAAACCAAACCCAGACCTGCCTCCAAAACCGCCATGCGGGTTCCCAGCCCTCTGCCAGTCTTGGCTCTGGCGGAAGCACATCTCGCTCGGGCTGGAGATGCACAGCCCACCCGTCTGGACCCATCCAGGCACAGGACGACAAGGCAGAGGAGCAGCCTGGGACCTGGAAAGTCGTCACTGCGAGACCGTCACTGCGAGACCCCCAGCCAGCGGGGCTGCCAACGGCCTCGGCGGGGCACCGAGGTGAGCAGAGCCTGCTAGCAAGCACTGATTCAGAGGCCAACACCTAACCCAAACAATTGTCTGCATTTAAAAAACACTCTAAAGGAAATCCATTCCTTCCTGGAGCAGCCCGAGCTGCTCCCACTCAGCTAATGCATGAACTGGAGGCTGAGCCTACGTCTCCTGCGCCACGTGCTGATGCTTCGACACACCTTCACCTTCCTGTTATTCCCTCTGCTAGAAAATCAGCAACCTTAGCAGTGTCATGGACCCCACTGAGCGCTGAAAAGGAGAGACCAAACTTATTGTGTACAGCATCACAACAACCACGGGAGCTTTCTGCCACTCGAGGTCCAAGACGCTTTCGTCCCACTGCCGCTACACGCGTCGGCCAGAGCCCCAGCCTGGAACACGATTACGTAGCACTTTGCAGACGCTGGGGTTGCTAATAGGTGTGAGTAATTCAGCAGGCTCGTATTAGCACGATCAGGCATATCCCTGGTTGAAATGATAATCACACGTACGTCACTTCATCGAGCTAAGGAGCTTGGCGAATCTCTCTACAAGGCTGGGTGTCTAGACAAGCAGCCACGCTGAATACCAATTTCATTCTGAGGCAAAAGAAGAGGGGACCTGGGAAGTCCTACCCCTGCCCTCCCACCTGGCAGCTCTCCTCTTATTACTTTCTGACGTTGCACCCAACCAAAGAGGCTGGTGAGAAAGCTGACCCCCTTCCCTCGCCACTGCCCCCAGCAAAGCCTTCTCCTTTCTCTGTTCAATTCTCTCCTGCAGCCTGATGCTTCGCCAAAACTCGTCACCTCTCTTTGCCAGCAGGAAACTGAGGCGCAGAGCTCGACAGGGAGGGATGCCGGAGCCAGCTGCGCTCCAGGTCTCTGAGCCGCCACTCGCCTTCGCTTCTCCGTGCAAGGGAAGGAGGAGTTACTGCCGCCAAGTCCTGCCTCCCAGCAAGCTCCCGCTGCCCCTCAAGCGGTCTGTCTGATCATTTAGTCCTTCACTGCATAATCCCTGCCCTGATGTAAAAGTCAGCAATGATACAGCGCTTCTGCGCCAGACGTAGGTAACTAAAAAGTCAATTAAGCCACCAAAAAGACGACAAAAAAGTCAACCTCTTCACCTGCAGATGGTCGGGCTACAACACGGAGAAGGGTCGGACAGGGAGAGGCAGTGGGGGCTGTGGCCGCTGCTGCTCCAAGGGGGCTCTGATGCCCTGCACGCGTGGCAGCACCCTTCCTTCCCCGCGAGCCCGGCATCCCCGAGCAGAACGTCGTATTGGTAAGGTTGTAGTTACAGAGCTCCGCACGAAGCAGAGAAGCTTGATTTTTGGGGTTGCAATAAACTTGCCATCTGCTCCAAAGAGCATTTCTGAGGCTCAAATTGTGGGCACTGCAATCCGCCAGAATCAGAGACGACGACAGAGAGTAGGTGTGCCAGGGGAAAGCAAACCAGCATTTGGCTTGGAGACACCCACAGAGAACATGGGCCAGGGAAAAAGGAGCACTTACGGGGTTCAGAGGTACACAAACTCTGTCTGCAGAAAGATGTGCTAGGAAAAGGGACGGAGGCTATGAAAGGAAATCTGCAGCTGGGATTCCAAAAACAAAGCAGCTTAAAAATAGGCAGCAGAGACAAAAAAGGCATATTAGATCATCTTGTGTTCTCCCCCATTGTGCCAACCCAAGATTGTTCCCTGCAGAATATTCTCTGCTGCTTCCATAAATGTCAGCTAGGACAGAGCACGTAGTAAAGATTATTCAGAGGGGATCGGGAAGGGGAAGAGGATTATGTGCTGGCAGAAGGGAGCTATGGGAAATGTCATTTGTTAACTAGTCCATGTGTTTATGGGCACCCCAGTTCCGCTCCTCCTGACACAGCTGATTGTGTGAGCAATTTATGCAGTGTTATGGATCGAGTTCCCAAACCTCTGCCATGTGATCCTGGCCACCAGAAAGGATGAGAAATTGAGTACGGCCCAAAACAAAAGGTTGCCAGTTGGCTTTGAGAGCAATGTAAAAAAAAAAAAAAAAAAAAAAAAAACAACAAAGAACAC